AGGAGCTGCATTTGCACTCAATATCTGTGTTTTGGTGACCCTCAGGTCCTTTGGTTACATACATTTTGTCCGAGACAATTTCAACTTTGACAATCCATGCTTAGAGGACAATATTATATTTAACTAATTCATTGTGTAAACTTGTATGTAATTGACTGATTTGAAAGATTTCAATAAAAAAAAAATTCGCCCTTATGTGCTAGAGTATCTCAGCTTCTGAAGGTCCTCGAGATAATTAGCCTAGCAAAGCGGGTGTATCGACCAACAATAACTGCAAAAGAACTGACTAACTGCTGCAACAATACCGGCTACTATAACGGTTACCGGTTACAGGTTACTATAGCTACAAAGTGATGGGAGTGCTTGTTTGTAGTCTGAGCAGACTTGAGGAGTGTTTAAAATTGCGTTGAATAACTGTTTCAATTCATTATCCGTCGCCTGAGGTGTGATAAGTTTGTAGCAGACTTTGTAATATAATAATAATATGTTCAATTGTAAACAAATACTGAATAAATGTAAAAGCAACATCAGGGTACGGTCAGTACACGGTAAATACACGGTAAACTGGTAGATACCAAACAAAATCTCCGCCTAATTATCTAATCATATGATTAGCTCCGTCTTATTGTGGCAACACCTTGTGTAGTTAAATAGTCGACATTAAAAGTAATTCGCGTCAACTTACTCAGGACCAGTGGACAATTTCTGATGGTTGTAAGGTTTTAGATTGATGTAGAATAAATTAGGGGGGGGGGGGGGGGCGTCAAACCGAAAAACCCAAAAAATCCCATTTTACCTGAAATTTCCATTTTGGGAATGGGTTTTTTTGGGGTTGGACACAATTACTTGTTTAAACTTCTAGTGATCTGAGCTTTAGAAATAAAATACGAGTACATTTTTACTAAAATACTAGGATAATGGATTTATAATTTGCTGAGATAACGATCTTTGTCAGCCAAAAATGTAACTTGTAACTAATATTAATAATTAGACTTAGAGCTGGTCTCGTGTCTTTTACACGAGTTGGATTTCTGCGAATTTGACTTATTCCGTAATTAATAAGTAATTATTCCGTAATTAATAAGTAATTAATAAGTATAAAGAAAATACCATAGATGCAAAGTAATGTATATATTATAATGGCTTATCACCAATCTATAATACTCTTTACCTCATCAAGACACTGTTCCTAATTGATACGATAAGATAATATTGATTGTAGTTATTCAAGGTGTGGAGTGTGGACTATAGAAATGTGTGAGGTACAAGGTTTTACCGTCTAGAGGAGCCAGTATAACTATAACGGTTTTATTAAATACTTTTACAGAGTACAGCAATACAATTGGTGACCTAATTATAGTGAATCTCGGACCATTAATGAATCTCGGACCAAATGGTTAATGGTTGTCCATTTGTTGAGCAAATTAAGGGGAGATACACCAAAACCGTTTTTGCTCCGAACATCGATTTTATTTTATATTATTTTTAAATAGACAAAAAGAATAAGATTGTACACCTTCAAAAATTTTTAAAAATATTCCCTCATCGAGAAAAAAAATATTTTTCTTTTTCGAAAATTTTTTAAATTTGGAGAAGTCTGTCACTGTAATACCGATAGTTCAGCCATTTAAAAAGTTTTTTGGCTGATGTTTTTACTGAACATTACTTACACTCCGTACTAGAAGCCATTGAAAGGATTATATAATTGAACAATAAATGACCAAGTTACAGACCGAACAAGGTGAAAAAAGAAAAATTGGGATTTTTGCCTACCACCAAAGTTGTACATTTCACCACCCGCCCAGGTCATCAGATATCGCTTCAAAAATTCTTGTGAGTGTAGTTGATGATCATGGCAAGCTTTTTAGAACCGGATTTCTCTCAATTTTGAGTTTTAAGCTATGCAATGTGGCCCCAAACGACTTAGTAAAATTCATCGCAAAAAAGGCAGATTTAAGGCTTAAAATGCCTATAACTCAAAAAGTATCAGTTTTTTTGAAATAATTTTTACTGGATCGTAATCAGCTTGGTAAGACGAATCTTTTAGTACGACATTTATAATATTCAAAGCCACAAAATTTGTAAAAAAATGTGTACAATTTGTACAAAATTTATACAAGGGGGGACCCTTGTGTTCGAGCTAGAAAATTATTTAAGACAATTTGTCTTCTAAAAGCACCTATTTGGTACTAAAAGATTCGTCTTACCAAGCTGATAACGATCCTGTAAAATTTATTTCAAAAAAACTGATACTTTTTGAGTTATAGGCATTTTAAGCCTTAAATCTGCCTTTTTTGCCCTTTTTTACGATGAATTTTACTAAGTCGTTTGAGGCCACATTGCATAGCTTAAAACTCAAAATTGAGAGAAATCCGGTTCTAAAAAGCTTGCCATGATCATCAACTACACTCACAAGAATTTTTGAAGCGATATCTGATGACCTGGGCGGGTGGTGAAATGTACAACTTTGGTGGTAGGCAAAAATCCCAATTTTTCTTTTTTCACCTTGTTCGGTCTGTAACTTGGTCATTTATTGTTCAATTATATAATCCTTTCAATGGCTTCTAGTACGGAGTGTAAGTAATGTTCAGTAAAAACATCAGCCAAAAAACTTTTTAAATGGCTGAACTATCGGTATTACAGTGACAGACTTCTCCAAATTTTAAAGATTTTCGAAAAAGAAAAATATTTTTTTTCTCGATGAGGGAATATTTTTAAAAATTTTTGAAGGTGTACAATCTTATTCTTTTTGTCTATTTAAAAGTAATATAAAATAAAATCGATGTTCGGAGCAAAAAGGGTTTTGGTGTATCTCCCCTTAAGTGCCTAACTAATCTGCAGCTCTTAGGCTTATCTCCAGAATAAAAATAACATATATCATGATCATTAGAGTTAAGGAAGTTATGACACAGCTTTAACTCTTTAATATCGCAAGACGGAGGTTGCAAATTAAAATCTTCGTCTTGCGATATTAGATTTAGAGCTGTGTCCTTAGCTCAGAGACAATTAATTATAACAGCAGCTTACGAGGAAATTAATATGAGAATTATCTTATATTATTGTATATTATTATCATATTATATTATGCAAGTAGTAAGTACCCAGCTGTGGAGTATCAGATAGCAAAACAGTGCATATTGTAGCAGCTAGATACAAAAATTATAATATCTTATAATAAAAACTATGCGGTCATATTCATTATTATCCGTGTAGTTATCAATTTAATTATTATTGTAAATGAAGACAGTAGTCTAAGAGGAAATGAGAATTCAGTAAAATATAATAATTACATTCAACTTTATGTATCTTAGTGACAACAACTATTCGGTCATTCAACATTTCAAGTATTTAGATTTTAATTGAAGACAATTATTCTAAAGGAATAAATAAAAGTCGCAGTCTAAGTTGCAGTCTAAGTTGCAGTCTAAGTTGCAGTCTAAGAGGAAATGAAAATTCGGAAAAATGGAACAATTATATTGCACTTATTGCTTTATTGTATGTACGTAGTACTTGCTCGAGCCGTTCTCCAACTTAATGACCGTGAAGTGATGCCAACTAACAAATACAAGTCAAACAAACATGCAAGAGAAAAGCTTACCTTTCAAAAGTGGGTACAAATACTTTAGAAAGGTAGGGATTAAAGCACCTCCGACAATACGGATACCTATAGAAGGTGATTAATGAAGTAACATCGAGGTCATTAATCATTCCCCCAGTCATAAAGATTGAGAGAGTAGTGTTTAGTAGTTAGTACCTATATAATATTATGAACATAACCTAAAATGGAGCCTTGGAGCTCTGAAAGTGGTATTCAATTCATCAAAATTGAAGTTGATTAACCGAACTTCAACTTCAAGAGCTCTACAATTGCAAGGTTACAATGACGCAAATTACAGTTCATCAGATTACAGATATAATACAGATATAATATAATCTAATATAAACTAACAAAGTCTTCTCTGTGTGAGATCTCACACTCAGGGTTCCCGTAACTTCGTCGTGTGCCGTTGAATTCTATATTGAATAGGAGTTGGTCACAGCCAAACTCGTGCAGCGCGACACTGTGATGCACGCCGCCGCGCTTTGCCAAAATCAGCGGCGGCGCGATTTATTTTAACGTGAATGGTTGAGAAAATGCCCAAGCATGCTAAAATGCACAATAACATGTAACATTGCATGTGCCACGTTTATAGCTGATGACGTCAGACATATTGATACAGGATTGATCACTCGGATTGCCATGTAGCTCAAAAAAATTATCAAAATACAACTTTCACGGCGATTTATTCTTCGGCGTGGCGGCGTGAGCAAAAACTCGGCGGCGGCGGCGTGCACCACTGGTGCGACATGATACGACTTTTTTATGAAATAGTACGCTGATCAATCTTAAATCCAAATAATCTCAAATTTAACTGTCGAACACAATAAAAGCTTTCAAATCATTGGGATAAAACCTTGATAGTTGAGGGAAAAACACAGAATGACCATTCATACATAGGACACTCGGACATTTGATTAATTGCTCAGTACTGCCTTGTGCATTACTGGTACTTTCAAGAGAGTTTAATATCGGAAATTAGTATCGCCTTTGTGCGTGCTTAATTACTCAGCACAGCTTTGAAATTATTCTACTAGAATCTCTAGAAAGGCCCCGGCACGTGGCAGTTGATTCGATTTATGTTTGAACGCTGATTCCGAGTCAGCCAATATGAACATTACCAAGGGTTAAAATGGTTCCCTGACGAGTTATTGACGAAAAAATGTTTCTATCACGTGACATGATATGTCAGGACTCAGAGTACAGGACTGAGGTTTTGAATTGTCCGGTCATAGCCATCTAGAGAACGTGTTCAACTTAGTCACGTGATAGTTTATTGTAGAGAGATTTATCATCATCCTTCTGCAAAAGTGGCTATCGTGTAATAATTTACAAGTTAATAAGTTAATAAGTCAATAAGTTCACAAGTTTATATAAACTTAATTAACAAACGTTATTTCAGGTGTCATGGATGAAGAACGGATTCGAGCTGGACGATAATGACGGAGCCTACGTTGATGATACAGGAATGCTCGTTATGCAACAGGTCAGTTTTAATGATTAACTATCCTAGTGAGCTTATGAGCCACGTATTGATATTCAAATTACTCACTAATTACCTACTAATTACTCAATAATTAATTATCAACTACTCACTAATAACTTACTAATTACTTACTAATTACTCACTAATTACTTACTAATTACTCACTAATGAATTACTTACTAAGTGAGGCTCTTGCAATCTTCTTTTAGAAGGTTAACAAGTAAGTTACTCAATCAAACTTGACCTAAGATGAGAAGTATGTATGATTAACTATCCTAGTGAGCTTATGAGCCACATATTGATATTCAAATTACTCACTTATTACCTACTAATTACTCACTAATTATTTATTAACTACTCACTAATTACCTACTAATTACTCACTTATTACTTACTAATTACTTACTAATTACCCACTAATTACCTACTAATTACTCACTAATGAATTACTTACTAAGTGAGGCTCTTGCAATCTTCTTTGAGAAGGTTAACAAGTTACTCAATCAAACTTGACACAATCATCTGTCTGTAAATCATTTAACTAATTCGCTCGTGGGAAGATTCGTCACTTCATGTCACGATAATATGATTTAGGCATGAAATTAGGTACTTAAGCTGTATCCAAGTGACAGTTGTGGGACTTTTTGTAAATTCACAGATGGTTCATTAAGGATATATAACGAGCATAATTTTCAGTAAGTTTATTCTAGTTAAATAGTTTAACATAATAACAAATTGAAGCCGTGCAAACAATACTCACAATAAACAGTATTCTAGCTTGTATTTTAATATTATGTGAGACGATGCGTTCTCAGCATGACAAATAACGGAAGCCAAAGAAACTTTATGGTTATCTAATTAACTGGGGAAAGGACTAAACATTGTGTCTCTGTTAATACCTCTAATATCAAAGAAAAGAAGTTTGCCAAAAGTTAAGTATGCACTATGCAGTATACTCACAGAACAAACTTACTGAAAATTTCAGGCTCGGGATACAACCTTTCTAACAAATATAATAGAAATATTGAAATATATATATTATATAATATAATGTAGTAGTATTAAAAAAGTCACAATACAAGGCATGATTGCGGGGTGTGGTGCTGTATATATTGAATCGAACAGATTATGTACCTTACAATCTTACTATATATAAAGCGAGACGATATATATGTGTTTATACATCCGTACAATTTTACTGGCATCTACTTTAACACGACTTTAAGACGACTTTCTGCAAAAACCGGAGAAGATATAGAACTTACACTTTTTTGACTGGTTCAAATGCTTTAATGGCCTTCAAATCAGCATGAAAAAATAAAAATTAGCCAAGGAATAAGAATTTAGTGACCAAAATTTGGACCCCCAAGTGGTGTCAAAAACGCGAATTTAATAGGTAATAATTATTTTAGTTAGGAATACAAGGAATACAAATTTAAAGTCTTAAGTTACAACAGTAACTGTTAAGATAATAACAAAATCATAAGTTTTATAATATTAATATAATTTACTAAAACGAAAAAGAAAGATTTTGAAAATAAATATTTTGTTTACAGTCCCCTTGTTAATGCTTGAGCCAGCCCAATTTGCGCTCGTTGTTGCGCGAAAAGACCCGAAGAAACTAATGTTTTATTGCTATAGTGTTTGTGAAAGCAAAAACAAAATGAATTGGTACGAGATAGCGCTGGTACAGTGATGTTCAATGTTCATGTACTGGCCAGAGAGTCGACGAATTTCTTGCGGTTGTTAATACACGTAGTAGCAAATCTACCTAAAGTACCTTGCAACACACGATGCAACACACATTCTCTTCACAGTTCTTACTGACTTTAAGTTGATATCACAATTTCAATGGCATTTGATTAACATTTCAACGACTGAAAAGTTTAGATAACCCTCAGAACGAAGTGCACGGTATAGAAGAACCCGGTATAGAGAGATTCACAAACCCCAGTATCTGTATCCTCTTAAATATCCTGTGAAGCGTGTCATACACACCTTTAGGCCCTTATATACACGAATTTTGTCGTATTGTGATGGAATAGGTACTCGGACCCTACCAAATGCTATACGATCCATGATAAAATCACAAACGAGCTGATTAAGGAGAGGTCCGGTATTTAGAGCCTTGAGTCTTGACGTTATATTATTATAAAAATAGTTACAAAACCGCACGATACTGCAGATATATTAAATCAAATGACAATGTCGCTCGCTGGACACAATGGCATCACATAATATCACATATATAAGTCGAATCATCCGAGGGGGCGTTTTTTATTAGGCTAAGTAAGGACGAAGATTTTTATGATTTTAAAAATAGAATATACAAATGATAATCTTAGGTCAGTCAGTTTCGTGGACAATACAGAATGTGGACAAAGAAACCTCGATTTGCCGCGGATGTTGTATTCCCGTCACCCCTGCAGATTTCGTCGATTTCAGGTGCCGATGCAGGACCTTAAAAATTAAAAGCATACTTAAATTTTTTCCCCTAAAATCGAGCGCTTTCTGCGCAAAAAATTGAACTCAACAGAAAAAATTAAACATGGCTTCAAATCCAAATTTGAACCAGAGATTTTTCACTTCCTCTCGATAAACTCAATTTTCAACCCAAAATAAAGTCTCAAAGGGGGAAATTACTCAGGTCAGGATTGTAGGCAATGATTATGCCAAACCATACATTTTTGTAAATTCATTAAACTTTAAAATTAGCCTAAAACACCCTATTTCGCAAAATTTTTCCGGGGGGCTGCGCCCCCCTAGCCCCCGCCAATGGGGTCCGCCCCTTACTTGGACCCGCTGGGGGCTGCGCCCCCAGACCCCTGCCACAGCTTGCAGCTTCGCTCGCCGACAGCCCCCCCCCCCCTCCCCCCCAAAGATAAATCCTGGCTACGTGCCTGAGCAAAATATAGGTTTAGGGCTTTTCAGATGATTTGGCTCCTCAACAGATACCGACGTACATAACGGTCAATATGTAGTTTAGGTTTACCTGGCCCGTAGGTTACGAATGTGCCCGAGGAGAAAAAAAAGCAAACTTAAGAAGATTTCTCGGGAACTTAAAAGTTCACCTCAAAATGAAATCTGCACCTATGATTCCCGTGGTAGATGTTACTGTAGTAGTAATCTTAAATTTAATTGTAAGAGTTACATGGGATGTTTATTAATATATACACAAGCTTCAGACGCAAAATTCATCTGGTAATGACAAGGAAAGCATTTATATTGAGACTGATCACTAAATAAATTGATATAAATACCTAAATAATGATATCAAGATGCATGAAAGCCGTGCCACGCTACGTAAGCTGCTAATGTGTCAGACAAGTTACTAGTGATCACTGAGACTACTTAAAGTTAGCAAGACATCACAAACTTTTATTATTACTACTTAAAGTTAGCAAGACATCACAAACTTTTATTATTACTACTTAAAGTTAGCAAGACATTACAAACTTTTATTATTACTACTTAAAGTTAGCAAGACATCACAAACTTTTATTATTACTACTTAAAGTTAGCAAGACATCACAAACTTTTAGTATTACTACTTAAAGTTAGCAAGACATTACAAACTTTTATCATTACTACTTAAAGTTAGCAAGACATCACAAACTTTTATTATTACTACTTAAAGTTAGCAAGACATTACAAACTTTTAGTATTACTACTTAAAGTTAGCAAGACATCACAAACTTTTAGTATTACTACTTAAAGTTAGCAAGACATCACAAACTTTTAGTATTACTACTTAAAGTTAGCAAGACATCACAAACTATTAGTATTACTACTTAAAGTTAGCAAGACATCACAAACTTTTATTATTACTACTTAAAGTTAACAAGACATCACAAACTATTACTATTACTACTTAAAGTTAGCAAGACATCACAAACTTTTATTATTACTACTTAAAGTTAGCAAGACATCACAAACTTTTATTATTACTACTTAAAGTTAGCAAGACATCACAAACTTTTATTATTACTACTTAAAGTTAGCAAGACATCACAAACTTTTATTATTACTACTTAAAGTTAGCAAGACATCACAAACTTTTATTATTACTACTTAAAGTTAGCAAGACATCACAAACTTTTAGTATTACTACTTAAAGTTAGCAAGACATTACAAACTTTTATTATTACTACTTAAAGTTAGCAAGACATCACAAACTTTTATTATTACTACTTAAAGTTAGCAAGACATTACAAACTTTTAGTATTACTACTTAAAGTTAGCAAGACATCACAAACTTTTAGTATTACTACTTAAAGTTAGCAAGACATCACAAACTTTTAGTATTACTACTTAAAGTTAGCAAGACATCACAAACTATTAGTATTACTACTTAAAGTTAGCAAGACATCACAAACTTTTATTATTACTACTTAAAGTTAACAAGACATCACAAACTATTACTATTACTACTTAAAGTTAGCAAGACATCACAAACTTTTATTATTACTACTTAAAGTTAGCAAGACATCACAAACTTTTATTATTACTACTTAAAGTTAGCAAGACATCACAAACTTTTATTATTACTACTTAAAGTTAGCAAGACATCACAAACTTTTATTATTACTACTTAAAGTTAGCAAGACATCACACTACTTTAGCTGGATTGAATACTATTTCTACACAGAATACGATAATATCGTTGCAGTGCATTCGAAATGGTATTTCAGCAGAATAACATATATTTGAATATAACTTAAAGCACTAGCTAATTATAAAACAAAACAAATATAATAATTAGCTAATTATAGGGTTTTTTACTAAAACGTACAGAACAAATAAGGGTATAACTATTATACTGGGGGGAATACGAAACCCCTTCAGTCAGTCCCATTAGCTCCTTTATAAACTTTTCTCCAGCTGTGATCGCAAATTGTGAGCTGGGGAATTCATGATTCGAAATATAATTATGCAACGAATACATAGCTTGAAAATACTGCACTAAATGCTATGATGCGGGATGCCTTGTGTTAAGCGAATCAGCTTATGAAAAGACTCAAGAGTAATGCGAAATATGCGGTTAAGAATGGCCAGTAAAAGCGATTTGGACTTAAAGTACATTATTATCTATGTAATATACTTAATTATATATTACATATCATGATAATGTAAGTAATAAGTTAAAACTTAAATGAAGCATTATAAAGAACATATGAATATTAGCTTAATAATCACTAGTTGTGCAGTTCGTTACCGAATCTTAATTTACTCATTGTAACTTTTATTTAGTTCTTCATGATCTGCTTAGGTTAATCCAATTTTTGAATTGACTTCATTCGATCTACTTCATTCGATCAACTTCATTCGATCAACTTCATTTGATCTACTTCATTTGATCTACTTCATTTGATCTACTTCATTTGAGCTACTTCATTCGATCTACTTCGTGTGATCTACTTCATTCGATCTACTTCATGTGATCTACTTCAACTTAGACCACCCTCTTTTTCAGACCGAGTACGATGCCTCAGGAACGTACCAGTGTGTAGCCAGCAACTTTTGTGGAGTTTCCAAGGCTGAGTGTTCCGTTAACGTCAGTAAGTGCTTTTCAATATACCAGTTCTTAGGATTCATTCATTATTTTAAAGACCGAAGTTTTATTAACATGTTACCTACCTATCACCTATGTTGAGATTCGTTAAGCTTTAACAGGGCCATCAAATTGTTGGTGTACTAAATTGATAAATTTCAAAATTAATTTAAAATATGGTTACTTTACTCAAGTAAAAACAAAAACTAATTAACCCACGTAATAAGGTCGCCCTCAATGAAAACTCTGAAAGTAGCAATAGTGGTTACCTGGGGACCCCTGCACGCTTAATGATTTAGTGCTCATAAACACATTGAATATATGGCGGAATGCTTAGCTTCGCCCAATAACTATAGTGGTAGCGTACGTTACAATGGAAAAACTACTTAATTTATAAGGACAAAGGAAAACACAATGTTTGACATAATATAGGCAAACAAACGTATAAGTGACAGTAACAGTGATAGCAGTAACTAGTTACTAGTTACTGCAGTTACTAGTTAATGTTTGTTTGTCGACTTACCAGAAAGAACAAAAGCGTTATTTATAGAATATAGAATGGAGAATGATGGGTCAAAGAGCCAGCCTAATCATTTGCGAACATTTTTTTATTAAATTGATCAAATGTTGGGGAAAAGCAACAATAAACTTCAGGGAAATCGGAAAACTTTAACTATACATAACAAAATGCAGTGTGTTCCGTGCTCATCTTAATATCCAAGAAATAGTCAATAGTCAGGTCATTTATGCACATTGACCTGCATTTCATACTGGAGGGCTATAAATGCTTTTTTGAACTTTTCAAAGAACGAAACAAAATTCAAACTGGGAAAATCGCCCTTTTGGCCACACCCATTTGTGTTATATTCCTCAGCAATTCAAAACTTATGAAGCAACATGCCAAAAATGCCTAACTCTGGAGTTATTGGCCAAAAACGCAATTTTTATTTCGTTCTATATACCTTGAAGAGTCCTTTAAAGCTCTAAAATGTTCAGCCCTCTACTATGAAATACAGGTAAACATCTCCCTTCGTGCATAACTGACCCAGACTGAAAATATTTTTGGAATCGAACTAAAGGCTCACTAGATTTTAGCTTATTATATTCTCATCACCCTATAAGTATAATATTAATATCTGAATAGTTTTAGGCAAACTATTCATGTCAAACTTTTATAGTTTTATCGAGTTATTTATACCCGATACCTTGATCTAATGAATTCTGCACTCGTTAGCAACGTTAGTGGGGCCAGGAAGAGCAACGTTAGTGGGGCCAGGAAGAGCAACGTTAGTGGGGCCAGGAAGAGCAACGTTAGGGCTTTAGGGGGGCCAGGAAGAGCAACGTTAGTGGGGCCAGGAAGAGCAACGTTAGGGGGGCCAGGAAGAGCAACGTTAGGGCTTTAGGGGGGCCAGGAAGAGCAACGTTAGTGGGGCCTGGAAGAGCAACGTTAGGGCTTTAGGGGGCCAGGAAGAGCAACGTTAGTGGGGCCAGGAAGAGCAACGTTAGTGGGGCCAGGAAGAGCAACGTTAGGGCTTTAGGGGGGCCAGGAAGAGCAACGTTAGTGGGGCCAGGAAGAGCAACGTTAGTGGGGCCAGGAAGAGCAACGTTAGGGGGCCAGGAAGAGCAACGTTAGGGCTTTAGGGGGCCAGGAAGAGCAACGTTAGTGGGGCCAGGAAGAGCAACGTTAGTGGGGCCAGGAAGAGCAACGTTAGGGCTTTAGGGGGGCCAGGAAGAGCAACGTTAGTGGGGCCAGGAAGAGCAACGTTAGGGGGGCCAGGAAGAGCAACGTTAGGGCTTTAGGGGGGCCAGGAAGAGCAACGTTAGTGGGGCCAGGAAGAGCAACGTTAGGGCTTTAGGGGGCCAGGAAGAGCAACGTTAGTGGGGCCAGGAAGAGCAACGTTAGTGGGGCCAGGAAGAGCAACGTTAGGGCTTTAGGGGGGCCAGGAAGAGCAACGTTAGTGGGGCCAGGAAGAGCAACGTTAGTGGGGCCAGGAAGAGCAACGTTAGGGGGCCAGGAAGAGCAACGTTAGGGCTTTAGGGGGCCAGGAAGAGCAACGTTAGTGGGGCCAGGAAGAGCAACGTTAGTGGGGCCAGGAAGAGCAACGTTAGGGCTTTAGGGGGGCCAGGAAGAGCAACGTTAGTGGGGCCAGGAAGAGCAACGTTAGGGGGGACCAGGAAGAGCAACGTTAGGGGGGACCAGGAAGAGCAACGTTAGTGGGGCCAGGAAGAGCAACGTTAGTGGGGCCAGGAAGAGCAACGTTAGTGGGGCCAGGAAGAGCAACGTTAGGGGGGACCAGGAAGAGCAACGTTAGTGGGGCCAGGAAGAGCAACGTTAGGGCTTTAGGGGGGCCAGGAAGAGCAACGTTAGTGGGGCCAGGAAGAGCAACGTTAGGGGGGCCAGGAAGAGCAACGTTAGGGCTTTAGGGGGGCCAGGAAGAGCAACGTTAGGGGGGACCAAGAAGAGCAACGTTAGTGGGGCCAGGAAGAGCAACGTTAGGGCTTTAGGGGGGCCAGGAAGAGCAACGTTAGTGGGGCCAGGTTGAGCAACGTTAGGGGGGCCAGGAAGAGCAACGTTAGGGCTTTAGGGGGGCCAGGAAGAGCAACGTTAGTGGGGCCAGGAAGAGCAACGTTAGGGGGCCAGGAAGAGCAACGTTAGGGCTTTAGGGGGGCCAGGAAGAGCAACGTTAGTGGGGCCAGGAAGAGCAACGTTAGGGCTTTAGGGGGCCAGGAAGAGCAACGTTAGTGGGGCCAGGAAGAGCAACGTTAGTTGGGCCAGGAAGAGCAACGTTAGTGGGGCCAGGAAGAGCAACGTTAGGGGGCCAGGAAGAGCAACGTTAGGGCTTTAGGGGGCCAGGAAGAGCAACGTTAGGGGGGACCAGGAAGAGCAACGTTAGTGGGGCCAGGAAGAGCAACGTTAGGGCTTTAGGGGGGCCAGGAAGAGCAACGTTAGTGGGGCCAGGAAGAGCAACGTTAGGGGGGACCAGGAAGAGCAACGTTAGTGGGGCCAGGAAGAGCAACGTTAGGGGGGACCAGGAAGAGCAACGTTAGTGGGGCCAGGAAGAGCAACGTTAGGGCTTTAGGGGGCCAGGAAGAGCAACGTTAGTGGGGCCAGGAAGAGCAACGTTAGTGGGGCCAGGAAGAGCAACGTTAGGGGGGCCAGGAAGAGTTGATGGTAATGAAAGACAAATGTTTCATTATGAAAGAAAAACTGTGGTAATGAAACTTGAAAGACGATTGTGATATTATGAGAGAATAATTGTGGTAATGAAACTATCAAAGACAAATGTGATATTATGAAGAAATAATTGTGGTAATGAAAGCAAAATGGTGAATATTAAGGTTTCCCATTGCTAGTCAAATTTGATTATATTTTTACGAAGTCAAAAGTGGTTAGTTGTTAACGAATTTGACACAGAAGCCATTACAGAAGCGATATTGGAGATGGGTTAATTTCATCGAACTACGCTGTAGTTTCTTCATAGCCCCTTGTAAGATTAATTAGATGAGAGAATAGAATAATTTATACTTTTGTTAACATTATCAATCGAAAAGAAAAAGCAACTTCCTCTTGGAATCGTATTCGATATTCTAAGGATAGGGACGAAATAATGAAGTCGACTGGTAACAAACCAATTTGCGACGAATTTGCCAAATTATAGCTATCTACTATTTTCTACGAATAACCGGAATCCATTCGAATGTAAAAAGTTACGGACACATAATTAATTTATCTTATTTATAGCAGCTTTTAAACTTTTAGTATCAAATGGTACATAAGTATTTTCATATATAAAGCATAAAACATTGCTCAAAAGATTAATTAGATGAGAGAATAGAATAATTTATACTTTTGTTAACATTATCAATCGAAAAGAAAAAGCAACTTCCTCTTGGAATCGTATTCGATATTCTAAGGATAGGGACGAAATAATGAAGTCGACTGGTAACAAACCAATTTGCGACGAATTTGCCAAATTATAGCTATCTACTATTTTCTACGAATAACCGGAATCCATTCGAATGTAAAAAGTTACGGACACATAATTAATTTATCTTATTTATAGCAGCTTTTAAACTTTTAGTATCAAATGGTACATAAGTATTTTCATATATAAAGCATAAAACATTGCTCAAAATACCTTGCCCGAGACAGCTGTTATTTCTAACCTTACTACTTACTAGTCATCGATTCCAACGATTGATAATATTATAACAACATATGTAAATATTCCCGTTGCTAGCTATTTGAAATATTTGCCTACAATTAGCATTTAGTATGACCTCGAGTTTTACGACCCGGTAAAAATCGTTCGGCACGTCGCCAATAAGATATCTTATTCTAACCAATAAAAGAAAGGAGGATAATTCAAAATATTCGTTTTTTAAATGTTTATATATTTCGACAGCCGACAGTGTAATTGCGCCTAAGTATTTAAGGTATTTATAGCTACTAAAATAAATGTCCATGACTTGGTGAGTACATTTAGCTGCAGTCCATGACTTGGTTGGTACATGTAGCTGCAGTCCATGACTTGGTGGGTACATGTAGCTGCAGTCCATGACTTGGTTGGTACACGTAGCTGCAGTCCATGACTTGATTGGAACATGTAGCTGCAGTCCATGACTTGGTGGGTACATGTAGCTGCAGTCCATGACTTGATTGGAACATGTAGCTGCAGTCCATGACTTGGTGGGTACATGTAGCTGCAGTCCATGACTTGGTTGGTACATGTAGCTGCAGTCCATGACTTGGTGGGTACATGTAGCTGCAGTCCATGACTTGGTGGGTACATGTAGCTGCAGTCCATGACTTGGTGGGTACATGTAGCTGCAGTCCATGACTTGGCGGGTACATTTAGCTGCAGTCCATGACTTGGTGGGTACATGTAGCTGCAGTCCATGACTTGGTGGGTACATGTAGCTGCAGTCCATGACTTGGCGGGTACATGTAGCTGCAGGGATAATTGAACCACCTGTTTTAAACATTAAAAACGTTTCGGAACATTA